ACATGTCCGTGAATAACATGGTCACTAGATTGCTGAATCACCTGTTTTGATACGATAATTATGAATGATTCAGTTGTATTGATCTGGATGGGTTTCAACAATATGATATTGCGTCTTTACCGATCTAATTTCCCTACTTACAAACTTTATTAGTTTATTCGAGTAACGTGAAAACTGCACTACCAAACAGATAGTTTTAGTGTTTTCTTACATCGTTCGTTACATCAGTTTATTGTGAATAAGAAGGCTTCCTAGAATCTACAAACAAATTACCAAATAACAACTTTATTTTATGTACTTTACATGTATGTATGTATGTATGTATGTATTGTATGTATGTATGTATGTATGTATGTATGTATGTATGTATGTATGTATGTATGTATGTATGTATGTATGTATGTATGTATGTATGTATGTATGTATGTATGTATGTATTGTATGTATTGTATGTATGTATGTATGTATGTATGTATGTATGTATGTATGTATGTATGTATGTATGTATGTATGTAGTAACACATTGCAGGATACAGGCTTCCTAGAATCTACAAACAAATTACCAAATAACAACTTTATTTTATGTACTTTACATGTATGTATGTATGTATGTATTGTATGTATGTATGTATGTATGTATGTATGTATGTATGTATGTATGTATGTATGTATGTATGTATGTATGTATGTATGTATGTATGTATGTATGTATGTATGTATTGTATGTATTGTATGTATTGTATGTATGTATGTATGTATGTATGTATGTATGTATGTATGTATGTATGTATGTATGTATGTATGTATGTATGTATGTAGTAACACATTGCAGGATACAGTAAGGTAAGGAAAACGCCAGACATGCTGGTTAATGACGGGATTACACAACAGCTGCTTGCACTGCTGATGACAGGTACTTCACAAGTATTTTGGGAACATCAAGACGTGTTTGATGCCTAGAAGGCTCGGCCATTTCCCCTACGGGAGTGATAGTTATATTATAGTATTCAGTGAAGAGGACGTTGCTCGACCAGGAAACAACACCGTCAATTATAGCAGGGCATATTTAATAGCTCTTGAAACAACATCCACGTTGTTCTGTATAACCCTGCCACACCTGGGGCAGCTCGAATAAATAGATTCATCTCTACTTTAGAGAACAAGACGCTTTCATAATTAAACATACCTGTTGCGGTCAAATTACGTTTTTCCTTTACGAGGAGAGTATGTGTAGTGACTGTAAGCCTGTTATTAAATGGTAATCAGTTTTCTTTAAAAATCCAAGATTCTATGTGTGATGTATATATTGTGTGATGTATTACGGGTATGATTTCAATAATATTTATTTCCCCCCAAAAGAAATGGGATTGGTGAACAGGCAAAGCCTATTTGAATACCTCTTCCTACAAAGGACATTTAACAATTAATAAGAGTAATGTACATAAAATTGTAAGTTTAGATTAATTGTACCCACTGTTGCAACTGTTATGACGTGAATATACAAGTCACACACAAATACACACATACATATGTCAGTAGATAACCAAATCGGTGCATCAATACACAAATACGTATACACATATATGCTTGTATACCTATACATCCACATACCAGCATGTCACAAATACAAACAACTATTTGATTGATGTAATCGTGTTGCAGACACATATTTAAATTTTAAATCTTTTAGATTTTACAATGAAAAATTGAACAAGTTTTACAGTAGAAGTTTTAGCATTATGTAAAACATTGTGTCGAACTTTGTTATTTTCCTTCCGTTATCATATTATGTGCTATATAATGTTCACGGAGATGTGTTCGGGTAGACACGTAGTTTCATGTTTATCAACATGCATACAAACATAATGCATACACAACGTAATTGTTTTATATCCATGTAACATTAAAAAGCTACTAGAGCGATTTGTTTGGGTAAAATAATCATGGGCAATAAATGCATCTGTCAATTCTGAATAACCGAACAATATTTATTATACTATATCCCTTATGGTAGAAATCAGCAGTTAGATCTTACATGGCTGAAATTTGAACACTGCACATGATAATAGTTTTAATCTAAATATATTTTTATTCTATGAACAAGCCAATAAGGCTTATATCAATACCTCTCCATTACAAGTTTTATTCATGGAGGCAATATCAGAAAATAACACGGGATGATAAAGTAAATATTTTTAACGAAGCAAGTGGTCATGAACAACAGCTTCGTGCCATGAGTGGGGGGAGTTTAAACATTTTGAAATGAAGTATATACAAATGTATTGATTTCATGTTATTGTCTAAAGTTCTAGTTTTCTAAAATTACAGTATACTTAAGTGTTAAAATCACCTCCCTCAGAGTAGAAGAACGAGTCATGTTTGAACATCATTGTAAATGAGACGGAAAAAGAAATAGTGTGATATATTTTTTTGTTTTTTTTTGTCTACAAAAAACAAGCTGCATTATCAGAAATGTGCCGTTGGATGACAACAACCAAGTTTGATGCCAGAATGTATCATCTGACAAAAATCTACTTCCAAAATATAGATCAACATACAAATTGATATTTTTATTATAACGGTTTCTGCATTTATAGTGTCATCATGCAAATGTTTTTAGTGCTAAACATATGAATATTGTCTTCGTAATAGAAGCTACAGCTGCAGGTTATCCCAAGTAAGAGGATAAACTACGAAGACATTGCGGGTTTCTAGTTGGGGTTGGAAACCAGGTTGTACTAATGACAAGTTACACATGCGAGCACAAGTTATGGAATAATTAAGTCCTACATTTAAGTAGTGCATGGTTTCAAGAACATCTATCTGAGAGGTAATAACAAGATCAGTTCCTGTGACACAGACAACCATTTACAAAATGACTTTAGTTAGATACAGTTGTAGTTGACTTATGATCATTGACCTTTGACATCCTATTTTTCAAGGCGACCACTCAACATTCCTCTCCCAGCGGTTTAATGTGCTGGGGTATATCTCCAGTCTGGAGACACTGATGTACCGCCTCACAATCGACACACCTGCACTGACATCGGGGATAAATGGCAGAAACAGGACAAACCTAGCAACTATACATGTTACTCCTACCACCACAACAAATGGTCGCCCCAACTCGGGATTACTGTCACATTATTAGCCCGACATCAAAGTTGACATCGGCATCCGTAACTGGCCTCCACCTGTTGAGTTGTAGCTGGCTTTTATTATTAGGCTTGATTGGAATTTGAGCACCTGTAGCGGTGAGATCGTAACGCACACCTGTACAGGTATTTGAAGTGACCAGTGGTCAGAGGATGGCTTTGAGAGCAGGTGCCCGACATCTGAAGAGCGCATTGAGAGTTGATCTCGAGGGCAGGTTGTACTTCCCATGGGAGGAGGTTGTGGGGCAGGGCTTTGTCAACAGTCCCCTGTACGGAATAGAATGGAAATCAGATTGTTTAAGTTTCAAAACAAAAAAGTTATCTCTGAAAAGAGCACTACTCCCGTATTCATATACAGAAATGTCACACTTCTGTTTCATGTTATATGTTGGATACCATTTTTTAGTTGGATTTTATTTTACATGAATAATGTTTTGGATTAACGTGCCAATTATCTGTGAGATGATACCCTTTTTGTCATTTACCAAAGAGAACGACACACATGTGAATGTTTTGTTTGTTGTTATGTAAATAATCGAGTAAGGGACCAGACAACATAGTGATTGACATCTTTAGCATCAATCCACGAAATTTGGATACGATGACATGAATCAACCAAGTCGACCAATTTTCTTCCCCGGATCTTAACGGGTCGACATGAAATAAGCAGACATGTCAGATACACTCGCAGGTAACTTGTTATTTTTTATGGCACCGGTAGTGAACTTCTCCTTCCAATCCTAACTGAAACCTTCAAAAGAAATATAAAAGGGACTTTTAAAAAAATAAAATAAAATTTCACATGAAAACAGGACTTCCAAGGTATGACATAGGTCCCCTTTCATAAAGAGTCTATTCCCCTCTGACAGGCGAATACATGTGACTCGAGCAACATTATTGCTCTAGAAGAGTGAGCGAGTATGGTTTTACGCCGCTTTTAGCAATATTCCAGCACTATCACGGCGGGGGACACCAGAAATGGGCTTCCCACATTGTACCCATGTCAGGAATCGAACCCGGGTCTTCGGCGTGACGAGCGAAGGCTTTAACCACAAGGCTACCCGACCGCCCTGCTCTAGAAGAAGTCGACGAAAACAAGAAGACACTGTCAGCTCTACATAACATGATAAAATATATAATACACAAAAAAGGGAAACAATATAAACTATACTCATCATGATGCACTATAAACAGGGGACACTTAAGAAACTATACACAACAGAAGACAATATAAACTATAAACAACAAACGACAAAATATATAAAAAACATAAGAAAATATAAACTTTGAACAGGGTACAATATACACTATACACAACAGGAGTTCAATTGAGTAATATAATCTCATATCTACTAAGATTTGATTTCTATAATATCCTGTTAAACCCAACTTTAAGAGGCTCTCAATACCCAAATTGAAAAAGGCTATGCACGTCCTCACGGTTTGGTATTTGTAAAAACAATCATTAACAATTATCAATTGAACTGTATCAACACTCTGCGGCTACCAGAAGCCAGCGCTGGTGTTCCCACGCATCTTTGTAGTAACGGCGGTTTGTGTTGGAGTAAAACATCACTCATTTTGTTTGAGTTGGGCCGCCGAAAAGTGACAAGCCAAGCTTGTAATCTAAAAATAGCCCAGTACGGCTACCTGTCCAGTGACGTTCCGCTCTCTGATTGGTTGTCGGCACACATTGATCGTAGCGGCACGCGCCACTGTTTATTCACCGTAATCAAGTTATCAGCCTTAACAATAGAGCACTGTCGCCTAGACCCTCCCTCCCCGATATTCTATACATAGTGCACGCGCCGCGCGGCTTGGCCACACTTAGCCACGCGACCACTCGGCCAAGGAAGCCACATACTTCCTGGCTCTGGAACAGGTCCGATACAAAGGAAATATCTTTAATATGGATGTACATGGAAAGTCCGACGAACAACCGGACCATCGGACAGGCAGGTCAGCAGAGGCCTACAGTACACTGCCGTGTGGGCCTTTTCCTCATCGTGTGGGAAAAGGCTGAAATATGACTTCTCAGCTGGCGTTGCCCTTTGTCCCTGAGAGCGGACAGATGGAGGATACCCACACCTGTGCTGCTGCTGCTACCAAACCGCTGGGAATCGGCTAATTTCTCTCCCATCTCAGAACGGCCCTGCCCATCTGGTGGACGGGGTAGAGAGACAAGGGCTCCCTAATCAGCCGACATCTGCTAGGATATTGGGAAACTACATACAAGATTAATCAACGACTGTCAAATGGTGCTGGAATATTGCATGAGATTGTCTTGCTGAAATATTGTTGAAACTACCCGATGACACGCCGATAATGAAATCTCACGTGATGCACGGACGGTATAACGCATTTGTTCCAAAAAGGACACGGGGGTTATTGGATTCTGAAGTTTTGGAAACTAATTTCTTGGACTGGATACGTAACTCCTTGAAAGTTAGTCTGTGTAGATGGAACAATTCTTGGACGGTTGGTTACAAATGGGTGTCATGTCAGTGTGGGTCAAACTCTCTGCTGGTGTACCAGGGGTGGAGTGTTAGGGGTCGGGTGCATCTCTGCGATGTGGCGCAGGCACTGCCAAGGATGGATGATGAAGTAAAACAGGTGCCCGACAGGTGGCGCAGTCAATCCCCCCCACCCCCGGGATCCATACCCCATGCAGACAGTGGATGAGTGTTCGCTTATCTTGCAAGAAGACTGACATTGAATACTAACAAACAAGATCTGATGCCAAAACTGGTAGAGTCTCACGCGAGGTTGGAGCCAGGAGCGATAACTCTGTCGCCACCCCGCGGCTCGCCTGTTATCGACACCTCTCACACAGAGCGTCCCACAAATCTGCGAAAGATGGAGTCAGGAGATACAGCAAGCTCCACAACAATATATACAAATGACATGTGCGCCAAGTTACCATCTGCAAAAACTGACACGGTGAACTTGCAATTGGGAAACACTAGCTGGATATCTCTCAATGATCACGATCGTGGTAGATATGTTATGAACACACACCCAAATAAAGACGGACATAAGTATCGCTATACTACAACTCGCGTATTTATCTTCGAAATTAAAAATTGAAGTTTTACTTTGATGTAGCGATAATAAATATTGTGTGTCCCTGAAACCAGTGCTCGAGACTGTGGTTGTGTGCCTCTGTGCCGGGCAGAGCCGTACGCGGTTCATCGAGTGTGGGGCCTTTGTTTCTTTACTAGTGTGAACATGATGCTTTCTGATTAAACACGGCCTGCCTAATGGTCGGGGCAGCTGGGCTGCAATATTTAGTGTCACATACCGCAATGTGGCCGGACATCGGAGGAACAAGCCGGCAGTCAGAATACCACAACACAACACTTATTTATTTTTGCTAATCTCTGCAGCTCCCCGGCGCCTCAAGTCTAGAGCGAGACACTCGAAAGCACACATGAATATATGCAGATTCGCAGGTGTGCGGCTGTGAACCATCTACAGGGCGAAGGTGACGGATTTTAATGCAATTTATCAGCCATGGGAGGGCGGCCTCTTTGATGTTTGTGTTGATTGACAGCGTGGTAGCTACAGCGACCGCCTGGCTGGCGCCGTCTACGATAGCAAATATACACACAGTGAATGGGTGACGTCACAGAGCTGGCGCCAGTCTGTCGCGCTTCGCCGCCGCTGATTGTAGAGCGTAGAGCTATTAATCACCTGCCACCTCTCGCCGCGACTGACAAGGGGAGTTTATTCTCGACTCTACTTCTCTACATGGAAAAATAGTCGTAGCCTTCCAAATATATAATTCAACTTTCCCAAAAATATTTCTATGTCAATAGTTGAAAAAAGGAGACATTTTAAACGCTGATACTTCGCTTGTGTGTTGAAAGTTGAGCCTGGGAAAAAATTGGAGGAGGCGTGGCTTGAATTGATAAGCTTATGCAGTCCCACGTTCTGATTGGTTAAAACCTGACGGGGCTTTTGAAACCAACCCAAGCTGCGGTTGATTGGTCAGCTGGGAGGGCGGAGCTTAGCTGTCAGTGTTGTTGCAGTGGATGGCTGTAAAGAACTCGGTGGTGTATATAAGGCTGGCCAACCCCCTTCAGCCATACACTCAACTGAGCTCGTAGTATTCGGACGTGCTTCTCATTCTCTCGCTCTACTATTACTTACCTCGAGTTACTACCTACCAACCCACCTACATTATGAAGGCTGTTGTAGAAACCTGTGTCCGCGCTGACTTCGGTGTCAAGGACATTAAAATTACCAAACCAAGGATTGAGGATTCCGAAATGTCGGCGTGTTTCCACAAACTGAAGGAACTAGTGCCCTCCGTGCCTCAGCACAAGAGGATTTCCAAGGTAGCGCTTCTCCAACATGTGATCGACTACATCCTAGACCTGGAAATCACCCTGGAGAAACACCCCGCTATGGCGTCTATTCCCCCACCCCTCGCCAGCGTCTGCCGCTCCCCCCTGGCAGAGAAATCGGACCTCAACGCCCAAATTGAGGTAACTATCTATATTCTATTATGATTGTTGATGACCGCCTTCAATACTGATACTGTTTGTATCCCATCCTACCATGTGTCAAGCCGCGTCGGCTTTATTATTGATATTAATATTCAGTTATTACATTTTAAACACGCCAGTAAATTGATATGCTCGCTGAATTAATCGATCAATCAGTGAATACACGGGCTGGCTTTCGATTTGTTTTCTCATGTAGAGTCTTATACAACATTGATTTCTTAAATCTCATCGACTTGCTACTTTAACTCGAAAATCCGACCGTTTTTCATGAAAATCAGGGCAAGAAAATGGCTTCTAGCTTACTTCATTATTATTTTATGTTGATAACTAGCATCTTATGGATTATTTGGCCTCGTTTTCAGCCTGCTTGCGATGTCCTAATGGAGGCAGCAGCTTCGGCCGGCATGTGCGATCTCCGACCCCCATCCAAATAAACATCAAGCGGTCACTTTGGATCTCGAAGGACAAATTAAATGGTAAGTACATCTGAGCGATACATGCTTAGTCCGAAACAAAGCGAGTTGGAGAGAGTCGGTCGGTCTGCCCAGCTGCACAAGCAGAGAGGGCTGCGGGATAGTTGAAATATTTGGCAGGCCGTTGCGGCGACTGACTGGCGCCGCTAGTTGTGGGAGTGTCTCTCGGCGAGGAAACAGGTGTTAGGGTGCTGTCAGTGGGCTAACTAGCCAGATTATTACCAGATACAATAACACAAATAATCTCTCGTGTAAACAACAAGCTCATTTCTTCTCGATATAGACAGACAAATCTGTCCATTTTACCATACATGGTTTTGTAACTAGTCAGTGTTTCTAATTATTTATTCCTTTATTTCAGAAGTCTCTCTGTATCATCCCTGATGACAGGCGATCCTGACAGACCGAGCGACGCTCGAGCGTTCCTCCACACACACACACGGAAGGAAAGGCTATACTCGCACGTGCAGCCGGCCCTTCCCCACGGTCTGCTTGAGATGTGAGGCCGATGTGGCCATCTCGTGGATCATCAGCTGGGACATCCACGGCAACTGTGGCAAGGATGACCCTTCTCTCACTGCCTGATCAGCGGAGAGACGGCATCCGCCGTTACCGGTCCCGTACCGGACTAAGTGACACTCTGACTACCACCACCTCACGACTGGAACCACGCGGATAAACGCGCCAGGAGATTATGACGTTCCCAACGATGCTGTGTCGTGATAGACTTTATCGAAGACTTTTGTACCTTTTGTAAGATACGGTTGTTGAGTTTTGTTATTTAATTATTGTTACCCACTGTTGGACGCTGTATATACGTTACATGGATCTTTCACAATACAAAAATATGGAAAATCAGTGCCCGTGTGTTCTATTTTCTCCATGGCGAGCTCAGTGGTGACGTCACTCAACGATTCCAGTCAGTTCATACAATTTCAAATTAACCCATTTCTAAAAGAAATTATTTCCCTGAGTGATGTCACCACAGTGGCTACACGCACTGGATGTACCTGCAAGTGGGATTATATTTATAATGTATCCAAAACCACACGTCAGGTCTGTGATATTGGGGATGTTAAATATCCTAGGGTATTTAATATTCACTCAAACCATAAGCTCATTTTAATACGAATGTGAACGCGAGGCGCTATACAATAGATCAGGTACGCGTTAAAACCTCGTCCGGTATAAGCCATTAGAGCGCTTGTCTTGTAATCACGCTTGGGTCATCACTCCCTATTGAAGTGCAGGTGTGTACAGTTTCCCCCGATCATCACGTTTGGGGGGAAGCCATCACACGACTAATTAATTGAGCGATCGCTGTCAGGTGTGTCAACCACAGGTGAGAAGGAGTGAACGCTCCGTTGGTCACAGGTGGGCTATCACAACAGCCTGATCTGTGAGATACCCGTCAACAACAGAGGGCCAGGTGCAAGACCCAAGTAATCTACTGTAATCAAGGCGATTATTTGATAACGCGAAATAATTAATAGTGTCAATTCTATGAATCAACATATTAACATGGGCTAACGAAACAAATTTGTGGATACTGTAAATTGTAAAAATGAGATTGGAATTATGGTGAAATATACTGACAAGATTTCTCAAAGGAGGGCGTTGATTTGAACCCCCAACAACGCTGAGTTGTTCTCATGGTGACGGAATGGAAAGTCGCAATCTTGATATTTGAATTTACGAAATTAATATCAAAACGCCGCAAGATGTAGATATTGCTATGTACATCTCCAACAGGAGGACATGACACCACTATTTGTGAAGCCGAGGGATGGATGTCGTTCCTGTAGCGCCAATTACACAGCGGATACCGGTGTATCGGGGGAGGGGCCTTAAGTGGGGGGGTAGGAGCGCGGATATCCCCAAGTAAGTGGGTCTTCCTTCTCGTATACGAGGAATCAGATTTATAATAAATAGCCCAACACTTAGAATGTTTCAAGATGAAACACGAAACCCCAGTGTTACAAATTAACCAGGAAACCGAGTTAAGTTGGAATATTTCAAGTTATGTTGATTTTGAAAATAAACACATTTTTACAGCCAAGTGGGTGTGCTAGAGGCTCTGTATGTATAATGGACCGCGACTGTCGGCACCATCACGGCATGCCTCTCTTAGGTTAACACGTTTTAAGAAAAATCGATCCTGAGTCATGCATAATACATGTACAGTTAGCCGACTAGTCGACTCAAATTCCTTCATAACCGTGTGAGCCATATCCAGTTTCTGCTAAAGGGTATTTTCTATATATATGATTCAACTTAATGAGACTAACCCGCCTCAATAAAACACGCCAAGCACGATCCTGTTCGGACAAACTAGATCTACTATTGTCCCCCACAGCTACTGCTACATCAATTAGCTCGTCAAGCAGAACCATTTTCTTTAGAAACAGATAACAATAAACAATCTGATGACAGCTAGCTAAATCACATCATGTCAAACAAGGCGGTATTGTCTGAACACGCAGGGAAAAGTCGATAGTCAGCCAGTGTTCCATGTGACCTAGTCAGACGTGGGACCCTCCATATTTCCCCCAGACGCTGGGTAATACATAGGGCGGGTCCGAGGGTCGGGATCGATGGGGAGGCGACCCTCTCGACGGGGGACGGCCCGTGGGACACAGGGTAGCGTGATGTTTCCGTGATCATGACAACACAGGCGGGAGGCGGTCTCAGTCGCCACAAGCTCGTGATTTCTCCGCATTGCGCCAGATGGACTGCTGTGCGCCGCATGCGGAAAAGATTTAAATACGTGATCTAATGAACTAATTACAGACTCGTATACACGTCACAATCATATCCTGCCCACTCGCACGCTCCGTTGTATTCTTATAAGTAGCCCAAAAATAATCTTCAAATACTCTATGACTACAAACATGAAAATATAGCAGTTTTGTAAATACCGAGCGCATTCTCTGTTTCAGGTTTTACCAACAAAACTTTTTGTTAATATTATTTAAATCAAATCAGTTTTTTATTAGGGGATTTTACTAAGAAATATTGAGTTTGTTGCTTAAATATATGGCCTACATTTGCATATTCACGTTTTTGGTCTCCTCGCTCCAGTTGGTCTTGTGTTGTTTCCGAGGAAACCAAGTGGAATGTCATTGTAGAAACGCGGTTTTGTAGATAGCAAAACATGAATGACAGGAATTTAAATCAGTTCTGTTTGAACACAACGTGTATTCAAAGTTTCACCATTTATTTATTATCAGTAAGCAAGATCGGAATTAGCATTCAAAGCAGGTCTGTGCCCGCGTCGTGACTAGTTGTAACTGCCGTAGCGAGGTCTGCGTGCCGCGACTAATAAACATTCAACGCGCTGGTACTCTCCTTACTGACTGGAGCATCGAATAGAGGTTACAGTGGAATATAGGTGGTTACAGTGGTAAATAGATGGTTACAGTGGAATATAGGCGGTTACAGCGGTAAATAGATGGTTACCGTGGAATATAGGTGGTTACATTGGAATATAGGTGTTACAGCGAGTATAGATGGTTACAGTGGAATATAGGCAGTTACAGTGTAATATAGGTGGTTACAGTGGAATATAGGTGTTACAGCGACTATAGATGGTTACAGTGGAATATAGGCAGTCACAGTGGAATATAAGTAAACTTATTTTATTGACAAAACACAACATAATTGGACAAAGTGACGCACTTACGATCCTTTCCTAAGTGGAATATCAATACACTGACATCAGTAAAATTCACACGTTTGGCTTGCTGACAGTGAGTGTCACAGTGGGATACATATGGCTACACGGGAATATATATTGTAGGTGGTTACACTGGAATATAGGTGGCTATACTGTGTAATATGTGTGTATAAGTAGCATTTAGATGGTTACAGTGGGGATATTTTGACAAAATATTTCAAAAGTAAATATTATTAAACGAAGAAGAAATATTTCGTAACAAAACTTTTACAAATCTCTAAACCAAATATTTAATAGTCTCTCCCTTTTCTATGAACTCTTCCAGATCAGAAAAGGGTGTATATGTGCATTTTGGTTTCAATTTCACAGATGAGTTGCTTTATTAAGCCTACATTTAAAAAAAACCCATATACTATTTTCAAAGCCGCATAGAAGCGTGTCTTGTGTTGTGACGTCATAATATAGTATGCTGGTGCACGGATAGGGCGATATATATCGCCGAACCATACGCTATACGAATATATTTACCAGAGATATTTATTCAGCTGAAAACCGTTTCCAAATGACATTGTCACACAATTACTCGAGTCTGCTGGAAATATCCCCTGTATATTCTGGTGTACAGGTGGAGCAGTAGGTTCCATGCTTTAGTCTGTAATATCTATCATTTAAGGTCTGATAAATAAAAGCAAATCGTAATCAAACCATTTTAGTATTCACATGAAACGATCAGAATGAAAGTAAATTAGAATTATTAAATGGTACAGTTTTCGACGGAGATTGACGAGATCGCCCTTGAACTAGCTTTGAAATGAAGTGTTTTGCGTTATAGCGAGGCAAACCCGGGAACCTGAGTCTTCCCATACCTGACTTAATGGGTAAAGTCACGCTCTCGTTTGCCGCTAATTAACATTCCATATATAGATGTGGAGTTCTTTACTTATTTATGAGCCAAGCTCAGGTTGTATATGCACGTACACAGGATTATTCCTCTCAGCCTATAGTTAAAATGTCAAAGAAAAATGTGTAAACTATTCCTGGATTCAAAATAGGATTTTTGATGCATAATGGTTCAGTGCAATAAGAAGACATAAGTTATACATACATTTATTGTATTGTTTAACATTATTCAAAAATATACCATTCCAATAAAAAGACTTTTTAATTTTGAATATAGTACAAAGTCAAGTATTTATCAACCCGTTACATAAATAAATACACAGTTTTAAAGAACAAATAAGGATGTCAGACAGGGTAGATACTGAGAGTGTATTGTGTGTCAGACTGTGTTAATAGACACGTTATGGTGTCCCAATAGTAGCCCATCTGCACATAAATATTTCACATTCGGACAGCCAATATTTCTCTATTCGCTGTGTCATAACGCGTCAGTGCTACTACTTTTGAGGACTTGCATTATTGGTAGGCAACGTTATTCGCTTAAAGTATGCAACATGTTTTACTTAAGATTTACTCATCTGAAATAAAATCCTTCAGACGTAATCCATTGAAATTCGACGAAAGATTTGCAAGAACGAGGTAAGGGAGACAACTGCGTCCCGTGTACCCGTTTTGGTTCATGGTGTTTTGTTCAAAATATAGGTGTATACACCCGTGTAAAGTCTACGAAACATTGAGATCGACCCCCTCAGTACCTACGTAATTATAACTCGCATTCTACAGTATTTATTAAATATGCTTGAACAAAATAAATAGAGAATTATTTGGTGACGGGAAATACTTCTGTTTCAGAGTATAATTATTTAACTTTTCGGCAGCCAACTAATATTTTCTTGGAATAAAATACACTTAGCTTCGAATATATTTTCAGTATTTATTCCACGTCTATTAAGAAAGAAGAAAAGCTTAACTGTCACTCCTAGCCTATAACGGCGTAATGGAAGCTGTAGATGATTTTCTGGAAACCTTTTATTTTATCTAACAAATGTGAAAAAATGAAAATTATATTCACTTTAATGTATATCTACACAGCCAAAATCGGTTGGAGATATATAAAGAAGTTTAATAAGTATGTTGAAAGATTGCGCTATTGATATGTTTAATCAAAATTGGATAGCTACTATTATTAATAACAGTTCAAGGTATACTCTTTATAAGGAATATAAAAGTTTGTTGGAACCAGAAAAGTATCTGTATGCAATTAGCGAAGTAAAGCTTGGAA